TTTGACAAAATCAGTAGCAGCTCTTTGGAGGGGACTTCTCTGGAAAAGCACGTAGAAGGTAGTGCTTTAGCTTTGGCTTAAAGGGAAGGATTCTCTGCAGAGGAGGGGAGGTGGAAATATATTCCAGACCTGAGGTAAACCGCAAAGGCAAAGGCACAGGCACCAAATAGTAGATGGAGAGTTGTGTGGGAGGGACAGCAAGAAGGCTGTTTTATTTAACCAGTTTGGCTGGACCATAGAGCACAGTGGGGAAGAGGAAATGTGCAATAAAGCTGAAAGAGATAGGTTGAGTCCAAGTAGTGAAGGATTTTAAATGCTAGGATTGTTTATATTTAATCCTAGAGACAATACGAAGCCTGGGGAGTTTGAGTAGGGGAATAGCATTTTCAGACTCGCATTTTAGGAGAATCATTTTGGTAACAGACTAGAAGGTAGAGTGGAGAGAGGAGAAAGGCCAACTAGGAAGTTAATGCAGTATAAGTTCAGGCAAAGAAGGCTTGAACTAAGGTGGTAGAGAAAGGGATGGATGCAAGAGAGATTTTGGAATTATGAATTTAAAAAGATTTTGCAAACAGATATGTAAATTGAGTGAGAATAAGAAATCAGAGCTGATACCAAGGTGTGTGAACCTGGACGGGATGACTTGAAGGATAGTGGTGCCTTGGATAGAAATGGGGGCAAGTTCAGAAGAAGAGTGAGTTTGGCAGGGTTGGAGGAAAATGAATTCTGCTCTGGACATGTTGAGTTTGAGCTACCTGAAGGACATCCAATTTGAATATGTTCCTCCCCTGCTCAAACTCTAAGGTCAAACAAATACTTTGGCATTCAAAGCTTTTCACAGCCAGAGGAGAAACTAGGCTGTCTGATCTTTAAAGCTCTGCACAGAGATGACAGTAAACACTTGGAGGATGATGACGTCATAAAATGAAAAGTGACATTTAGAAACTCTCTTATGAATAATGCACAGGTAAAGGAAACTGAGGATCAGTCAGAAGAGACAACCAAAAGTAAGCAGTGTTATGAAAACCTAGAGAAAAGAAAGTAGCAAGGAGGAGGAGAGGGGGTGGTTAACTCAAATGCTGCATATAAGTCAAGAAGGATGAGAATTAGTAAAATACCATCAGATTTGACAATTAGATAGATTATTAGTAACTTTGAAAAGAGCAGTTTCAGTGGAGTGCTGAGGTTCGAAGGCACATTGCAGAGGGGCGAAAAGTGAGAAAGTGGGGGCCACTGAATTGACTGCTTGTCTCTTTTCCCTAGGCTTCTATCCACCTCCTGGCCCTCACCCTCCCATGGGCTACTACCCCACAGGTCCTTATCCAGGCCCTGGGGGCCACACGGCCACTGTCCTTGTCCCTTCAGGGGCTGCAACCACAGTGACTGTGCTGCAGGGAGAAATCTTCGAGGGGGCACCTGTGCAGACTGTGTGTCCTCACTGCCAACAGTCGATCACCACCAAGATCTCCTATGAGATTGGCCTGATGAACTTTGTACTAGGCTTCTTCTGCTGCTTCATGGGGTATGTGAAAAAAGCCTGGCCTCGGTAAGAGAAGAATCCTGCCCACCTGTAGCTTCTCCTATCTTTTATTCTGGTTGACCTGCAGAGTGGCTTTACTATCTACTTTCTAGATTATCCACAACCTCTTCCAGTGCCTGTTGGTACTGGACACCAGTTTTACAGGGCTTTAGGCTGTTGCTCATCATCTCCATCCTCAACACCTTTCCCTGGTCACAGCTTTTGTTCTCATGAATAACTTTTCTTTCTGCTTCAGGTGTGACCTGGGCTGCTGTTTGATCCCCTGCCTGATTGATGACTTCAAAGATGTGACACACAGCTGTCCTAACTGCAAAGCCTACATCTACACGTACAAGCGCCTGTGCTAACGGAGACCACCCGGGAGCTGGGACCCGGGATTACCATCTCTCCTTTTTGCTTGTCAGTCCTATACCCTGTGCTTTGTTTTCCTTCTTGGCAGTAGCTTTTCCCGTTTTCCTCTTTAGGTTGGAAGCAGGGAACTCCTGTCTTCTCTGGTCTGTCCAGCCCAGGGATATTTGTATCTCTTCTGGCTTAGGGTTTGGCAGATTGGAAGTTTAGTGTCAGTGGGGTGGGGGGAAGTACCAAGCATGTTATTTTGGCTGTTGATATTTTGCTTAGTATATATAATCAGGATTTCAAGAGTGAACAGTCCACTAGCCGGGGTACTCTCCCCATTGAAAGTTTCCAGATCCCACCATTGTAATATTAGGTATTGGTTCTTTCACATTTGCCTCCTTGGGAATCAGAGAAAAACCTGCATCCTGGAACAGTAATTTGTTTCCATGGGGCCTCTGGGATAGAAGTTCCTCTTCCTACTACCCTATCTGAATGCCTTCTACAGTGACAATTACCTTCTATTACCAGTCAGTTTGCCCTGACACTATTGCATGTCTGTTCTGATACTTTCCGTGCTACAGAATAGCCCAAGGTAGTTCATGACTACAACTAGCCAGACATGTGATGTTGATCTTGGTGGTGTTGAGGGGTGGAAGGGAACCCTTGCTTAAGGAACAGAGAAACCAGGGGTCAAAGTGATCATTAGTAGACACTGAGAACACACAACGGGAAAAGGTGGGTTCGAAAGGCCATCATCCTGTGTTTCTAATTAAACAAAGAGAGCTCTAAGTTCCTAAAAGACAGACTAAAGCGGCTGGGATCATGCAAATTCTGGTAGGAACTAAATCCATCATAATGGACAGGACTTCTATGTAATAGAAAAACAGAATTGAAACTACTGGCACTAGAAACTCTCAGGTATCACAGCTTAGGACACGTAGAAGCTCTGTAGGACTAAGTACTGATTAGGAAAGAGTTGGTGGACAATGAGGGTCAGACCTCAGAGAGCCCTGCTCAAGTATGATACTATTTAGGAACAAGGCTGGGTGCCAACTTAGAAAAGGTAACAAGCAAAATTGATTGCATCTCCCAACTTAACATGCCACTGGCTCATCTCCTTACCTCCCTTTCCAAAAGTCCAACATTGTACCTGTGGAGCCCTGCTGAGCCCCACCTCTGGGAAGATGAGGGTGAAGTGGCAATGGAAGACTCGGCTTGCTCTTTTTGGACTTTTTCCTTATTGTTCCTGAAATTTGGCATTTTGACCTTTTTCTGTGTCTCAGTTGCACACCTGTGGTGGAAGGGGGATTGGGGAGAGGCCAGATACTATTCTAAACCCTACTTTACCCCTCACTTCCCAGACATGGAAGTTTATTGACTGGCCACTAGATGGCACATGCAGAACAGGCTTTGTGTGAATTGTTAATTTGCAGAGATTTTCTTTCTTTTAAACCATGCTGGGGAACACTGTTTTTGCACTAAACTTTTTAATGTCCATTGTGTTTAGAGCTTCAGTTGGAGAAATCATGTTATTTAATGAGGTTTGGGTAGAGAATGAAGAGAAGTGATAATGGATAATGAGGCTGAACTGACATCCAATTAAGCCCTGTTATGGAATAAGACTTGGGACCTGTGTCATAAGCATCACTGCTGCTACTGTACCCCTTACCTGGTTTCTGCAATTCAAATGCATGTCATCCTATTTAATGTGAACCTGTTTGTTCTCAAGTCTTAGTTAATCACTTACATTAAATCGGCCCATCTGCCCACCTTTCCTTGTCCCTTGGGCTTCTTTTGCCCTATGTATTTTTATTTTGCATGGGAGGAACATTGGGATCTGAAATATCCAAAAACTGTTTGGTCCTACTGAAGTCTTCAGCCATCAGCCACAGCAGGAGATTTGGAGTTCTAGATGACAGCCTTAAAGAAGTAGCTTGGCCCAAGGGATAGATAGTTGGTGTCAGAAACAGGTAGTTCCAGTTTCTACCTTTGACTCATGATGGTTATGTGACAGGGTAAATTCCTTAATTTCTTAGTGCTGTACCTTTCCTCACAATTTTAGCCCAGAGACAAAGCTCTGACAAAGCCCTTTTCCTGTGGACTTTTTTCCTCCCCTAATAAATGAATAACTTCAGAAGTTGGTAGGGATGTTAGTGGCAGTATTAGAAAAGGCAGGCACTTAAGTTTGTTTTGCTAGAACTCAGAGGTTCTAAAGATGACACCATGGAGGAAGCTGCACAAAAGGGACCTATTTGGGTTGGTAGAGAAAGTTCTGCATGAGGAACTCCTGATGAAATCACAGGTTGAGCCCATCCCAAGTTGAAAGCAGTTTGATTCTGGCTGCTAATTAAATTTCATATGCCTATGGAAGAGGATAGGTAATGAATGGAATCAAGTATTACATCTATAGTCTTCTTGGGATAGAGAAACTGAGGAAGGGAAGTGGTAACAGAAGGACAACCTCTACACTGTCAGCTATTTTTTCTCCTTATCCCGTGCTAATCAGTACTTTTGGGGCCAACCTGAGTTGGCATAAGCTAGCGTGATGTAATATAGTGATGTTCGACTCAGAAAGTAATGGGGGCCACTAAACTCTACATAAGGATCCCTGCAGGCTGCTCTTTTACTTAGAAGACCACAAGATAACTCATTTTATTGTATTTTGTTAAATACTTCCCCATTTACATTTTAATCTGGTTCTGCTACACTTTGGAACGTGGCCTCTGGGGTGGTGTGTGATGTAGGAGGAAAGCTTGACTTGAAATAAGACCACCCAAGTTTAGATCTTGTCACTCGCTACAACATGACCTCAGTCCAGTAACTTCATTTCTTTGAGATATAAAATTAGGAGGTTGGGCCAGACAGTTTCAAAATCTTTTAGTTCCAATATTCTGTGACCTAGACTGCTGTACAAATGTGAAATCTAAAACAGAAGAGGGGTCCACTACCTAACTCCAAGGCTCAGGTCAAGAATCCCATTTGCCCAATATACCTATCTAGGGGTAGTGCTAGACCACTTCACCCCTCACCCCTAAATTCTCCTGCCCAAATGGCTATTTGGAGGCATCAGTACTTAAGTGTTTTGTTTGTTTGTTTTTTACATCATGAAAGAAGAGGCAGAAAGTTTCAAGTATAAACTTTATTAAGGATGCTTTAGCATTTACATGGGTTACGTGAGAAGCCAAACTCTGCTTCTGTTGTTCTGTCCAGGAGAGACAGAAGGGTTGATCTGCTGAAGGAAGTAGCCAAAATGAAACTCTTCCTCACAGTCTAGGATAGAAACCTGGTTCTCAGGCCCCAAAACACAGGCTACTTTCCTCCCAGGGTTATTTGTCCCCCTGCCTTTGGTGTGGTGGACACAGTATAGCAGCTTTATTCTTTTTCTCTCTTCCCTCCTTCCACCCCAACAAGTTACCATTGTTCTGAGTTAAACATCTCATCGACTGAGTGATCAACACAAACCTGAGTGATGAGAGACGAGAGGAAGGAAGAAGAGAGCCCTAAGTTCATGGTGGAGCCCTGAGGGGAAGAGTTGACTCCACAAGGCTGAGGGAAATTTGCTCCACTGCATAGAGGTTTTTGGATCTAAGCTGTGCTTCCTGTATCACTAAGTTCTGGGTTTGAGTTGTCCTCTGGGCTTATCTTGCTGGGGAGATCCATGACCCTACCCTTAGTATCTGGGTTACGAAATCATATTGCAGAGAGCAGTCTGTTGGGCATTGACTTTAGTGTCTGGTTTTATTGGTTGCTTGTTTTCTCAAACCCAGCTTTGAGAAAAAAAAAAGTCACCTGAGGTGGTAGTTTAGTCAGTGGGGTTAGGGGAGGGGTGGGGGGTTGACTGGGATCATCCCTGGTGAGTCCCAGGGTCACAGGCTCCTCCTTCACATGAAGTACCAGGCCATCAGTCCAGAAGCCAGGGCCACAACAGCAGCAAGGACAAGTCGAAGGTTGGGCTGCCTCAGTAAAGTCGTGATGTTTTTGAAGGGGCAAGCACTACCCTCATGGGCACCTGCAGGGACAATGCCAACAGGAGACACCATGGGGTTAGAGAGCCAAGGTGACCAACCCTATCTGGAGGTGTCAGAGAAGGGTAAGACCCACCTTTACCTTGTTGAGCAGCATAGTAGGGGCACTTGCGCACATCTCCTTTCCCATCATGTACTAGAAGCTCTCCATCCTGGGGTTCTGTGGCCAGCAAAGAGCCAGCCTTGTCCAGTTCATTGAAAATCTGGAGAAGCAGAATATCAACTGAGCCCTCACCTGGCAGATTTCTGTTGAATTCAGGGGCTGGGATGATAGGTGCCATGACAAAAATGAGAAGCAACTTCCCTTTTGGATGTTTCATGGTAACTCCCTATGACCTGCTGCTGCTAGATGATAGCCTTTAATGCCCTCCTGGGGTGGAGACTGACCTCAAAGCGCTGTGGCAGCTTTTCTTGGTTTCTCATAGTCCTCTGATTCTCTCACTGATGGCAATACCCCAGGGGGCCCAATCACTGGGTTCTACCATACACAGCCTGATTAATTCACTTCTACAACCCAACTCGGGGAAATCTAGAAGGACAGATTAAGAACTGAGTAGTTTAAAAGCATGGCACAGAGTTTAGAGAGCCAGCTTTGGAGTCAGGGGGACCTGGGTTCAAGTCCCACCTCTGACATACTGGCTGTGTGACCTTGGACAACACATAACATATCTCAGTGCCCCAGGGCACTCAGACTGTAACTTGCAGAACAGTTGCAGATCTACAGTAATAGGAGTTTTCTCACCAAAAGAGTCCTCTATACCAATAAAAGCACAAATTAGGACCAAACAAAAAATTTAAATGGATTACTGGGCATTTCCTGAGTACCCTCATGCTGCTTTTTCCAGGTGTTTCTGGAAGACCATGCTGAGCATCTGAAAGCCCCCTGGAATAGGCCCAAAGATTTATTCATTACCTACTGTGTCCAAGACCCCACGCCTAAATGGATTGTGTTTCCTCAGGCCCATCCAAGAGTGAATGCAAAGTCCCCAGGATAAAGAAACCTGGTAACTCAAGAGTTTAAAGTGGAACCTTCCCAGACCACCCCTGAGTGGCCTTTACTGGACTAATATATTCCCACTTGGAGCATATCATTCCAGAGTTCAGTATCACTGGTCCTATTGATGCTTTGGAGGCTGCTTGAGGGGGCAACATTATTTTCCTAACTCATTCTGTCCCTAAATCTAAGTAGGACGCTCCTAATACCCTTCTCTGAAAGGTAAAATAGCAACAAGACATAGCTTGCTTCAAGTTGGCCTCTTTCACATCTGAAGCCTACAAAAAGTAACTTCTTATCCCGCACCTAAGTGAAAACCATAGTATTTTCTGAAATATTTTTAAACTGTAAACAAAAGGCTATGACCAGCAAAGTCTTTGGTAAAACATCTGCCAGGTTTAGGTCTTCAAGTTAAAAGGTGGTGGCTAACTCCATTTGTTACCTTTGGTCAGACCACTGATTCCCCATTCACCCTATTCTAACGGGACTCCTCTATCCCCCTGTACTATCCACCCACACATTTGCCCTAAAGATAGTTAAGGCTCAACCCCTCTCCTGCCCAACAGTTCCCTTCCCTACTTGGAAATCTAGCCAATCCCACCTATCCCCATTATGTCTCCACTGGTACCTGCATGTTGTACTCGAAGGCCCTGTTAGCCTCCTCCACAATTTTCTCCTTGGTCTTCAGATCCAGCTCCAGGGCATTCATCCTGGCCCGATAAAACTGCTTGAACTGCTGGGCATTGTCTACATTCTCAAACACGTAAAACTGGGTCCCTTCTCCAGTGCTTGGCAGCTTCAGTACCCGCTGAGCCACCTTCTTCAGTACCTGGCCCCCAGAAAGGTCCCCCATGTACCGTGTGTAAGCATGGGCCACAAGGAGCTCCGGCTCGTGCTGCCCCACGTAATGGATCCGGTCTACATAGTACTGGGTGGCCTCTGAGCACTTCACTTTCTCCCTCCACTCCTCACCAAAGAAATACTCCATGTCCTTGGTCAGCGCCTTCTTGCGGTGTAGCTCCATGGGGAAATACAAGGGAGTAAAGGCCGGGTGGTCCTTGTTTCGGTCCATCTCCTCTTCTAGGGCTGAGTATGTGAAATAAAGTGCAGTGGTAGCTAGCTGTCAAGGACAGGGTAAGGGAGAAGTGAAAGAAAGGTGTGAATGTGAGCATTAAAGAGTCAGGAGCTCCAGGCTATCATGAGCTTACTAGCAATTTTTATCAAGGATGATTGCTGATAACTATTTAACACCAAAAGGAAACAACCCTAAAGAGGTCTTCATACATAAAACAAGCTGTCATATCTGGGCCCTCTGGCTTAGACCTGTGACCACCTCCATTCCCATATCTTTTTTGGTTAGACAACGGACACTCAGGGAAACTGACAAAATTATTGTTGACTATTTCTACAGAACCACTGTTGGATGGTTGGCCTTTAAAATGACCTGCCTGCTAGGGCCATGTCAACCTCTGGGGAAGTCAAGAGTTAAGGCATAGTTGGAAGACCCTGAAATTGACCCCGTCCCCTCTCCCTGTGTGTTTAACAGCTCCTCTGGTGACCAGGAGGTCTCCAATGGGCCACTGTGCTTTAAAAACAGAAAAAGAAGAGGTAAACAAGCATGTGTGTAAGTCACTTTACACAAGTGTTCCCAGACCATCATATTGTACAAATCAAATTTTTATAAATGACATCATTTGAAATATGCTTAGGAAGCTTATTTTTGACTTTTGATTATATACAACCACAGTTGCCTCAACCTTCTTTGGAAGCCTATGGAGAAGCCTCCTAGAGAGATTCAGTCTTCCATCCCCACATTGGTAGGAAGCATACAGTAGTGGGTAGGTACAAAGCTTTTCCACCCTACCCAGCCAAACCATCCTGTAATATTCTTAAAGCTCTTAGATCATCAGGAACCACCACAGTTTCATGGAGGGTACAAACCTTAAAGAGATCCTTCTTGATATGGCCTTTCAAGAAATCTTTCACAAACTGGGTATTCTCTGCACGGTCATGAGACTCCTTAGTCCCTTCCTTCAGAAGCTCAGAAAGGTCCATTTGTCTGTGAAGAAAGAGCCAGAAGTAAGATTTGTTGACCCCACTGGGAGGTTAAGCCTTATCTGAGCTCAAGGTCCTCTGTTCAGAGCTTTTTGCAAGGTGCTTTAAGGGGACTTATTACCAAACTCAGGCATTCAGCAAAGATTCTGCACTGTGTGTATGCTGGTAACCTAAGCCTAATATACATAACAAGAGTCCAAATCCCAGCAAGTCAGTTCACTGAGAAAGACAAAAAGCTGGGACTGGCTCACCAGACCTAGGCTGAGTATCTGACTGGGCACAAAAGCTGGAAGTTCTCACCACAGGGCAGCTGCCTAGTAAGGTTAAGCAGGCAAAAGAATTACTAGCTTGAGTCTGGGGAAAGATAAAGCAACTCCAAATTAGAGTTATATATTTCTGGATGAAAATCATGCCCTTCTTCTAGGTCTGATGAAAAGCCAAGGACAATTCAGTGAAAATGAGAGCTCTCAGCAAATCCCTAGACTATACAAGCAGCTTTCTGAAACCCAGTTCCTTAGAGAACCTATTACGAGACAGAGGGATTTTCAGGCGATGCTGTAGAACAGAACGAGACGAAGATCTGGCCACAGTGGTACAGAGGTGATGACAAGTGACCCGCTCATGCCAGCCCCTCCCCTTAAGTGTGTAAACCACACAGGTGAAAGATATTCTTCTGCTATATTTACCTAAGCATCAGACAAAATGTATTCTCTGGCATGAATCTGTCTCACAGCCACTACATCCTCAAGGGAGCAAAGCTCTAGATAATAAGTCTCCCCTGAATTCTGCCACAGGGACAACCTTCAGTGATGGAGGCCTCATGTTGCAAACACACTAGCACTTCTTGCCTATTATACAAACAGACAAGGGCAAGTCTCCAGCTGTGCTTACTAGAGCCTCAGGAAAAATACATGTAAAGGAGGTGGCTGGTGACAGTGTCCCTGGGATTAGGCCACTTTAAAAAATCCTACAAGAGAGAAAACAAGAAGAGGCAGATTTGCAATGTGGAACAAGATTAGGCAATCCCCTGGCAATCCAGTCAGTACACAAAAGCTAAAAAGGGAGAAAAAATATGGTTGAGAGAAAAAATAGGTATGCACCTGCTAACAAGGGGACAAATGGAGCCCAAGAAATCTCCAGGAGTAATCCTAGGCCACCTCATATACCTGTCCCCTAGCTAGTGCATAGGAATAGCTAGCTCTTCACCACTCCAAATGGTAAGTGTTCCATAAAATGAGAACTCTGCAGATAGGCCAGGGCACTGCCTTGGCTCCTAATCCTCTCAGGGTCTCAGCACCATCTTCAAACTTAAGGTCCTTCAGACAAAAGCGCTTGGCCCTGTACAAAAACTATGTATCAATCTCGGAGGAGAACAAGAGGACTTGTGATGCCTACAGATATCAAGTGGCATCTTTCTTACATAAAATCACTGGATTAAAAAATGAAAAAGTTATGAAAAGCTGTTGTGAAATGTTTCACAACTACTGCTGTTACCTACTTCTAAGGGGAGAATCAAATAAGCAATGTGAAAACATTTTAGAAAATGGAAAAGTTCTGAATAAACATAAGAGTTTTAATTGCACTGCAATTCTTTTATGCTGTGGATCCTATACTGTTACTGTAAAGTGAAGTTGACAGTGTAATACAAGGTTTGTCCATATCAAAATAAAACCCTAAAAAATGAAAAAACCTGAATCTGGTGAGGGAAAGTAGAAAGTTATTATCCTGGTGTATTTAAATCACTCACTTTGCATGGTTTTCCAATTCAGGTCCTCCAGAGCTTTTTTTTTCAGATTCATCCACTCCATCTGATGGTGTCTCCAATTCAGATGACATTTTGGCTTAGTTCAGGTCTTCAAGCTCTTTCACCCCTCTGGTCCTGCAGAGAAACATTCAGGGAAAGCTAGTGAAATTTTCCTGAGTGTCCACACAGTATCACACTCTCTTCTGGATTACCCATGATTCTAAGGGGAAGAAATAGACCAAATACCCCAAAATCATTTTCTGATACAATTCCGAACTTGGCAAGCTAACATCCTAATTTCACTTTAAGACAATCCAATCTCCAAAAGAGGTGATCTGGATCTTTGTATAAAACAAAAACAAAAACAGCATCTAATTCCAATAACTTCTGATTCTAAATCAAGCTACATTAGCCCAACCTGACAATATCCAATATACGGTCATCACAACACCTGTGTTCCTTTGTCTACTGAAGGCGTGATTTTAAGGAAAGAACAAAGTTTAACAAGCCATTCCCCAACTGATAAATGGTCAAAGAATATAGGCAGTTCTCAGATGAAGAAATTAAAGCCATCTATAGTCATATGAAAAAATGCTCTAAATCATTATTGATTAGAGAAATGCAAATCAAAACAACTCTGAGGTACCACATCACACCTATCAGATTGGCCAACATGACAAAATAGGAAAATGATAAATGTTGGAGAGGATGTGGGAAAATTGGAACGCTAATACATTGTTGGTGGAGTTGTGAAATGATCCAACCATTTTGGAGAACAATTTGGAACTATGCCCAAAGGGCTACAAAAATGTGCATACCCTTTGCTCCAGCAATAGCACTTCTAGGGCTATATCCCAAAGAGATCAAACAAATGGGAAAAGGACCCACATGTACAAAAATATTCATAGCAGCTCTTTTTGTGGTGGCAAAGAATTGTAAATTGAGAGGATGCCCATCAATTGGGGAATGGCTGAGCAAGTTGTGGTATATGAATGTAATGGAATACTACTGTGCTATAAGAAATGATGAACAGGCTGACTTCAGAAAAACCTGGTCTGATGCTGAGTGAAGTGAGCAGAACCCAGAGGACTTTGTATACAATAGCAGCCACGTTATGCAATGACTAAGAATGTTAAACTGAACCCTTCTCAGCATTATGAGGATCTAAGACATCTCCAGAGGCCTCGGGATGGAAAATGCTGTCCACATCCAAAGAAAGAACTATGGAAGTCGAATCGCTCTCACTTATTTTTACCTTAAGTTGAATTTTGTTTCATCTTTCTGATGGTTCCTCCTATTGGTTTTAATTTTTACTTACAACTTCACTAATGTGAAAATATGTTTAATGGGTATGTAAATGTAAAGCCTATGTCAGATTGTGTGCCGTCCTGGAGAGGGTGGGGGGGGGGGAAGAAAAAAGGAGAAAAAATTTTCAACTCAAAAGCATATGGAAAAAAAAAATAAAATAAAAAATAAAAAAAAGAAAGAACAAAGTTTAAAAATGGTGTTTCCTGAGCTACCGAGGCTCATGGATGCACGTCCTTTTAAACTCAGTTGGACTCATGCCTTCCCCAGAAAACAGGAGTACAACCAAATTGCTGCAAAAATCCTACTTTTGAGTTTGGACTGAGATTATCCAAGAGCCAAAGGCTTAGAACTGACTTTACTGGTCCCAACAAGTAGTTATAAAATCTGATTTGCTTGGAAGGAATCTGATAGAAATTGTTAATTTTGCCATTTGGGCTTCAGCTAGGTTCTGTTTGCTGGGAAACCGGTGACTCAAGATAAGTAAGAAGTTGGGTTTATAAACTAGATCCCTATGCTGAAGCTTTTTTTTTTTATCAGAAAGTAAACTGGGAAGTAGAGTATTTGGGAAGTATTGCTGGGGAATAAGAAAATGGTTGTTGACTTTTTGGGAATTTGTAGTATCATATTAAGTATACTTTCAGGAAAGTACAAAATGTCCCAGCTTGATTCACAATTTCATAAGATTGCTAATAATTTTTTTATTAATTTATTTTGATTTATCAACAATCACTTCCATATTTTTTTGAGTTGAAATTTTTCTCCCCCTTCCTCCCCACCACCCTCCCCAAGACGGCACACAATCTGATATAGGCTTTACATTTACATCTATTCAACATATGATTGCTAATAATTTCTACAAGAGAAGAATTGCATACAGGAGTTAGACTGGATTTGGTCACAGTGCTTTTCATTAGATAATTAAAATTTTTTTTGTTATTTTGTTTTTTTCTTTTTCCTCAATTACATATAAAAATTTTTGACATTTTTAAAAAAAATTCTGAGTTCCCTCCCTCTCCTTGATAAGGCAAGCAATTTTATATATATGTTATACATGTAAAGTCATGAAAAACATTTCCATATTAGCCTTGATGCAAAAGAAAACACAGACCAAAAAAAGAAAGTGTAAAAAGTATGCTTCCATCTGCATTCAGATGCCATCAGTTCCTTCTCTGAAGGTGGGTGCATTTTTCATCCTAAGTCCTCTGGAATTCTTTTGGATCATTGTATTGCTTAGAATAGCTCAATCATTCACAGCTGATCATCACACAAGGTCTTGTACCACACTTCATTCATCTTCCAATTCCTCCAAAGCTCTCATTTCCATTTTTTTTCTTCAAGCTCTCTAATCTTATTTATAAAAAACATTTAAAAAATCTTTTTGTAACTCGTTTCATCTCTTTCAAGGACTCTAGTTGAGCTTGTGCCCAACCTGTGATTTCCTCTGAGGACTGGCTTTTAGATGCTTTAGAATAATGTTCTTCTTCTGTGTTTGTCTTGAACATCTTTGCCACCATAACAGCTCTTTGTGGTGGGATTCTTTTTGTGTTTGCTCATTCTTCCAGCCTACTTCCTGACTGTGGACTTGATGTTAGGGCTAGGCTCTGCCACACTTGGGGAGGGAAAGTAAGGGAAGGTCTTCGCTGATCCTGTTGCTGCTTTCTTCAAAGTACTGAGTACTGTTATTCCTGGATATCAGGAACAGGTTGGACACCTGTAAGTTTTCAGTGGATCCAGGATGAAGTCTGACTGTTCTCCCCCAGGTCTGAGTTCTGCAAGTTCCTGACCTGGGTTGTAATGTGAGCAACAGTAGAATGATGCTGAACTCAGCCCCGTATCAGCCAGCCAGGTGGTGGTTCAGGGACAGAACTTAAGGCTCCCCTTTGGTCTGGGATTTCTGCTCTTTTTACTCCTCTGAAGGCTAGGCTAGATGCTGGGACTGAGAACCCCAGTGTGTTCCTGGCGTCTGAGCCACACAGCTGGTGCTTGCTTCTGAACTTCTTCCTTTGTCAGTATACTATTCAGGGTCTCCCAACTGGAAAAAACCCTGCCCCCAGTACAGGACCTCTTCCAGTCTGCCCTAGATCTATGACCTGCAATTGAGTAATGGGTAACAAAGCTGCCAGTTAGCATCTGTCCCTGTTGCAATCTTCTGGTATGGTTCTGAGACCTCCTCTTGTTCTGGTTCACAGTCCCTCCCTGGGCACTGGAGTGCTCAGTGCACAGCATGCTCCGGTCCCAACTATCCATCCCCAGTGTTCATAGATCTGTCCCCTATACCATCCTAGGTTGGACAAAGGATCCACTGTGATTTGGGGGGATTTCTCCATCAGTATTTGATCTAGTGCATTTTCTAGTTCTGTTTGGAATTCTGTGGACGAGACCTTGGCTGCACTGCTTTCTACTACCCTGCCACCTTAGATGGCTCCACTTCTGTACTATTAATTTTTATTTATTAATCTGTTCATTCCTACCTTGACATCTTTGCTCTTCCTCATCACTTCACCTAACGTGATCTCTCCTATCCATTCCACCCACTCAAATTTACCCATGCTTCAAAGCCCAGTCTTCCATGAAGTCTTCCTTTACTGCTGCGGGCCCCAAAGACTTCTCCCTCCCTCTATTCTGCATTTAATTATGTATTATCTCATTTTGCCCATTAAATCATAAGCCTCCTGAGTGCAGGGCAAGGAACATTTCTTATATTTTTCTCTGTCCTATCTTACCTAGTACAGTGCTAAGCATATAACAGATGCTAAATACATAAATGTGGTAGTTGATTTGAGGGAGGTTCAATTTAACTCAGCAAACATCCATAAAGCACCCGTGTGTTAGTCAATGTGTCAAGTCCTGAGGGATACAGAGATCTAAGAGTAAATAATTCTTGCTTCCTTGGAACTTAAAATTATAGTAGGGATAGTTAAGGGGTAAGCAAAACATACACTTACCTACCCCAGAATGGTGTCTTTTTTTTTTTGGTCTTTATATTCCTGACAGCTATCCCTGTGTTTTACACCTAGCAGGCACTTAATAAATGCTTACTGAACTGAAATGAATTCAATCTCCCCCTAACAGTGATGACTCTGTCTTTGAAAAGTATTTTCCCTGTTTAGGTCCAGTGACCCTGTTTTCATCATCAGTTCAACTCCACCCACCCACCTCCTTAGATAAAAAGCTTGTGGCACTGCCCTAACAAAAACTTCCTCATTTTCCTTCCTTTTTTCCTGCACTGATAAAGTCTTGGATTCAGTAGTTCAGGGTACACAGCTGTTTAACTTCATCCTCATTCTAAACATAACCAAGCTCTGAGTGGGCAGAGAGTACAAGCTACTTATGAAGTAACAATGTATCTGACAGGAAGACTGGCTTCCTAAACAAACCTATACAGAGCTGCTTGAATTAGAATTACTCTACTGGAGTTAGATGCCCTATCTTTTGCTGTGTTGTGTTGTATTGGGTTGGGTTTTGTTTTAAACAACAAAGATCCAGGTTGCCTCTTTTCTGTGGAATGGATTATCCTGAAGTAGTATTTTGATATTAGTCTGCCAGGGTCAGAATATTGGTATAAGTCAAATTTGATATTAATTATCAAAGTGTTATTTGCGCTTCAATTTCCTTATTTGCTAATAATATTTTAAAAGGTTCTCATATCTTTCAAGCAATCTCGTATAATTTTGACATAGACATGAGAAACAACATTTCATTTAGGAAATGAAATGCAATTGTTGTTTGAAATTCAGAGCTCTACTTTAAAAATATATTATTCCCTTTATCCACTTTACACTTCCAGACACACTGTATCACCTTTCAATCCTTGATTTCATACTGCC